ATCTGTGCCACACTTAATTATTACTGATATCAAACACTCAGAGCTTGTAATTCATCCTGTAAGATTGAAAATTCTTTTCCATGGACAGAGATCACAGACAGTGTCTCTGGGGGCTCTGTCCAGGGGGGTTCCTGACCCCTGCCAGGGTCCCAGACCTGCCAGGGCAGCCAGAGGGAAGCTCTGGATTCCCACATGCTCCTGTTCCCGGGGAGGGCTCTGAGCCTCATTTTGTGTGAGATGCCACTTGCAGGTCACCCAGACTTCCTCTGGAGCCCCGTGCACGGAGCGAGGCGAGGCGAGGGAGAGTTATCTCCTGCCAGAGTAATTACTCCTTGTTTTCCCAGATAATACTCCGGGAATTTGAATATGGCCATTTTTCCTGCTCCCGCTGCAGCTCTGAAGATTGTGCTGCTGTCATCTGTGCGTTCTTATCGCTTATCTCTGCTCTTTTATCTTTGCCACTCATTTCAATGTGTTTAAGGCTCCTGCAGAGCCTTGTCTCTGCTCCAGGGAGCCTGTGCACAGCTCCCAGGAGCTGTGGGCCCCTGGCAGGTCTCTGCAGCCTCTCCAAGGTGCCAAAACCCTGCCCTGAACCCGGAATGTGCTCCAAGACCTTCAGCAACTTTCTTATCAAACAGGAAATAGCCTCAATCCTTCCTTTCCGTGTTTTCCCTAAGGGATTTGCTCTCTGGGCTCTGGCAGCTGAGCACTTGGCACTGCTTGGCCTGGCACGTGGTGTTGGAGATCTGCAGGTCCTGGCAGCTGGAAAATCAAGATTTTAGGGGTGGGGGGTCAGCCCAGGGCGTTTGTAGGTCCAGAGAAGTGTTTGCAATGGCAGGAGGGTGAAAAGTGGGACTGTGGGGGGCTGGCAAGGGGGACAAGCCCCCCTGAGACCTCCAGGCAGCTGCAGCTCCAGAGGTGCTCCTGCCCCATTCCCTGCCCTCTCATGCCTCCATCTCCTCCCCCTGCACACCTAACCTCTGGATAAACAGCGCCTTCACCCTCTGGAATTTGTTCTTGTTCCCTTTTTCTGGTCTGGGGTCAGTGCTGCCTGGGGGTCTGAGGGGAGGCCCAGGTGGAAAATTCCATGGGCTAAAGCCCGTTCCCAGCAGGAGCTGCAGAGCCAGGCTCTGTGCCAGGCTCTGCTCCCCTGGAGAGCTCCAGGATGTGTCTCCTGAACTCTGGGGGCTCTCCTGGCCCCGTGTCAGCTCGGATTTCTCCGGGGGGAGCCAGGAGCATTTCTTATGGAGCGGGATCATCGCCCACACGTCCCACTGACACACAAACCCTGCCTGGCACGCAGATTCCCAGTGCTCCCAGTGGGGCTGGGGCTGCAGCCCACGCAGGGAAGGGATTGCAGCACAGTTTGGCTTCGGATCAGGATGTTCCATCCCTCCTTCAAATTAAAAAAATCTCCTGTGCATCCGTCTCCTCCGCCACGGGAGGCATTTCCCAGCCGCCATAACGGATTTGGAGCCGGGACCCAGGAGATAAAATAATTTACTAATTGGAAGTGGCACCAAACATTTTGCCTCTTGCCCTGGCTGTGATCTCGGGGGCAAGTGGCTGGCAGCTCTCCAGGAGACAAAGCGAAGGCACAGCGCAGCACCGAGGTGGCCGGGGTGCCACTCCCGGAGCCCCAGCCCCTTGTGTCCCCAGCACTCTGTCACCTTTAATTACACCCAGGGATGCCCATCAAAGGCAGAGCCGGCTGCAAGGCTGAGGAGGAGTGACAGGGCTGGTGCAGAGGAATTTCACACAACAGCCCAGGCATTTTCTAGCTCACTGACTCGCTTTCCCTGTTTTCTTTGCTTTTTTTCCGGATGGCTTTGCGCTTGGCAGCCCTGGGCAGGCTCAGGGAGAGCTCGGCTTCCTCCAGAGCCAGGAGAAGCCAAAACTCTTCACTCACTCATCTCCTCTTTCATTCCCTCCATGACACCCCTGTATTGACCAGGATGCTCGGCCGGGCTCGGAGCTGTGCTCACAGCAGTGGGTGGCACTGGGTCCCTGCTCCCAGGTGTGGCACTGGGTGGCTCTCAGGTGGTGGCCCCAGGCCAGCCTGGCAGTTCTGGGGGTGACACCTTGAGCTGGGGTTGCCTTTTTGCAGCAGGACAACATCTGTCACTGTCCCCACCACCCTGCCTGCGTGTCCCCACCACCCTGCCTGCGTGTCCCCACAGAGGGGCTGCCCAGTCTGTCACCTCGGGGAGGGCACGGATCCCTCTGATCCCTGAGCTCCCAGTGAGGATCCCTCTGATCCCTGAGCTCCCAGTGGGAATATCTCTGATCCGTGAGCTCCCAGTGGGAATATCTCTGATCCCTGAGCTCCCAGTGGGAATATCTCTGATCTGTGAGCTCCCAGTGGGAATATCCCTGTTCCCTGAGCTCCCAGTGGAAATATCCCTGTTCCCTGAGCTCCCAGTGAGGATCCCTCTGATCCCTGAGCTCCCTGTGGGAATATCTCTGATCCCTGAGCTCCCAGTGGGAATATCTCTGATCCCTGAGCTCCCAGTGAGGATCCTTCTGATCCCTGAACCCCCTGTAAGGACCCCTCTGATCCCTGAGCCCCCTGTGAGGATCCCTCTGATCCCTGAGCTCCCTGTGAGGATCCCTCTGATCCCTGAGCTCCCAGTGAGGATCCTTCTGATCCCTGAACTCCCTCTGATCCCTCAATTCCCAGTGAGGACCTGCACAGACCTCATCATTTGAACAGCAGCCTCGAGGCTGCTGCTCTGTAGGTCCAGAAGTAGCACAGAGCAGCACCACAGCTGGAAAAGCCACCTGTGCCCCATTTTCTGGACATTTCTGGGAACCTGCTCCAAAGGTGGAGCCCCACAACTCATCCCATGGGATCCTCAGCTCAGGGAAGGGCAGGACAGGGATGAGCAGGAGAGGAAGGAACGGGTGGGTAGAGCAAGGGGAGGCTGTGCCAGCAGAGATTAAGTGAGGAAGGCCCATGGCACCTGCCATGGGACAAGGGGACACCTCCCACCTCCCACTGCCTGCAGGAGCCAGGGCTGGAGAGTGGGGGCACCTCTTGGAAGTGCAGAGCAGGAGCACAGCAGGTTTGGATCTTGGAAGCATCCAAAGGAACTGATCCCAGCAATTCCCCCTGCCCAGGAGGCAGAGACCAGAGAGGCTGTGGAGTGCCCCTCCCGGGGATATTCCAGGTATCCCTGAGCCCTGGGACGGCCCTGCTGGAGCAGGGAGGCGGCACCAGGTGAGCCCCTCCCAGCCTGCCCCCATCTGGGATTCCATGATCCTGAGGTTTCCCACTCCCGGACCAAACACAACAAAGGCACTGGCGGGGTTTACGGCTCTGTGACATCCCAGGCACAGCCAAACGGGCAGAGACACAAAGAAACCCTCAGAGAAGGTTTCAGCCAGCCTGGCGCTGTCTGGTCCCCGAGAGCAGCAGGGAGTTCATCCCTGTGGGTGAGTTCATCCCTGTGGGGTGAGTTCATCCCTGTGGGGTGAATTCATCCCTGTGGGGTGAGTTCATCCCTGTGGGTGAGTTATTCACCACCAGGGCCGTGCCCAGCCACTTGCTCGCCTCGGTGCCCGGCTGATGAACACTTGGCTCAAGTTGCCATCTTGGGGAGCGCACAAAGCCAGAGGCTGCGGGGGAGGTGACAAAACCAAGCGCACCAAAAGCCTCCATGGGCTTTGTGCTTCCAGAGACGCGGCTGCCGCACCAACAGCGACAAAGAATGGAAATAAAGCGATTTAAACCACCCCAAACGCAGCTTGGTAATGACAAACACATGCTTGGAGAGCCTGAGAACACAGAACCGACTGTTTATAAACTCCTAAACATTCGCTTGTGGTGCGAGGGGGAAGCTCCGGGCAGGGATTTCCCCCAGGAGAAGATTTAGAATTCAATCCTGGGAAATATTTGGATGTTGGGATAGAAATCGCTGGGAGCTGTATGATGGGATTTGCCCCTTGACTCGCAGGCTGCTGCTCGGGGCAGGGCGCACGGGGCGGCCGGACCCGCTCCCGCTGCCAGATTTCCTGGGAGAGGAAATCCCAAATCGCCCCTGGCATCTTCGGCTCCTCCGGGATCAGCCAGGACCGGTTCAGCTCCTCCAGCATCACCCCTGTGCGCACGGGATTCCCACCCCCTGGTTTTGTGGTGGCAAAAGGGGGAGATGAAAGAAGAGATGGGGTCGGTGCGATCTCTCCAGCGAGGCTGAATCCGGGTTAGATCCAGAGGATGGAAACAAATTCAGTGGGATTCAGGGAGCGGAGAGGGAAGGAGCGGGGAGCAGGGGAAGGTGGGTGAGGGTGGATGGGGGCACAGCCGGTGGCACACCCCGGTGGCACAGCTGCTCCTAGATGCCAGCTCCTTGCCCAGCTCATTGCCCAGCTCCTTCCCCAGTTCCTTGCCCAGCTCCTTGCCCAGCTCCTTGCCCAGCTCCTTGCCCATCTCCTTGCCCAGCTCCTTGCCCAGGTCTTTCCCCAGCTCCTTCCCCAGCTCCTTGCCCAGCTCCTTGCCCAGCTCCTTCCCCAGCTCCTTGCCCAGCTCCTTGCCCAGGTATTTCCCCAGGTGCCAGCTCACTCGGCAGGCTGCGGAGCCGCGGAAAGTGCTGGCAGCTGCGCAGACAAAAGGTTCCCTCTATAGAAAAGGTTCCCTCTATAGAAAAGGTTCTCTCTATCTGCATTTCTGAGGTGCTTATCGCGGCGCAGTCTCGCCGCTCGCAGCCCTTTCCTCCAGAAGGGCAGAGCGTTCCTATTGTTGTTACACAAATCGCTTCCCTTGCCAGTTCCTTCCCTTCCAGGCTACTGAGTGGAGCTTGGCTCGGCTCCCTCTGGACTAATTTGATGAGAGATAATTATCTTGTTAATATCATCTTATTTTCTTAAGTCCCAGCCTCTCTTTTATTAATTCTGTCAGTCGCGGGTTGTGTTGCTCTTAGGTCCGTGGCTTTTCAAAACACTCTTAACAGGCACTTCTGGGAGAAAGTCAGGAAAAGAACAACTTCAGCGGGAGAATGTAAATATTGAATGTTTTTTCACAGTGGAGATTTTTAATCGGCTCCTCCTGGCAGGGTTGGCCGCCGTGGGAACCACTTGGCCACCGTGCCCGCGGGAGGGATGCGGCTGCAGCGGGAGCTGCTCGGGATCCTCCGCTCCCTCGGGAAGGGCAGGAGAGGAGCAGGGGCAGGAATTCCACCTGGAGGGAGCGGGAGGTGCCTCAGGACACCCAAAACGAGGCGTCCTCTGTGCCCCGTCCTTGTGCTGACTGTGCTGAGTGCAGCAGGAAAGGGATGGGAACTGGGAAAGGAGCGTGGATGTGGGGTGGCTTGGAGGGAAAAGCTCCATTCCCACTACCCAAGAACTACCCATCCTTGTGCTAAATCCGCTGAACGCAGCAGGAAAGGGATGGAAATTGGGAAAAGAGCATGGATGTGGGGTGGCTTGCAGGGAAAGGCTCCATTCCCCCTATCCAAGGACACTCTGGGATAATGAGGATGTGGCTGACCTGAGGGATCCCACAAAACCTTTCTGAGCCTTTCAGAGCTCCTTATCCTTTGTAAGAACATTTATGGCCGCTGTTCACATTCACGGTGGGATTGTGTTATCCCAAATAATCCCACACACGGCTCATTATGGAGCCACACCTGGAAGTGCAGCCCCCAGCACTTGTCCTGTGCTTCCAGCAGGAATGCCAGGCAGGATCCCACCTTCCCTGGCATCACATCTCCCCTGCACCCCTCACCATCAGGGGGTGGCTTTGTGTGGCTGCAGAGGGGATCCAAAGGATGCCCTGATCCTGCTGGATGCCCCAGCACTGTCCTGGGGCAGGGTGAGGGCGCTCAGCTCCACAGGGATGAGAAGATTCTGGGATGTGTCAGGGAAAAGGAGCCAATTTAGCATCAGCTGAAGGGGTAGAGGAATCTTCCTGCTCAGGGATACTCGAAGGAGGATTTTGTAGGAGAAATGCAATCATTATTCCAGCACCACTCCAGATGCACACAGGATTTTCCCCCCTTGGATCAGGGCCTGAATCCCTCTAAAACAAAGCAGCAGTGGGAATGCGAGCTTGGGAGTGAAGTGTGTTCTCAAGCAATTTTCTGAATCAGGATGGGAATGCAAACCTCTTCTCTTTGACTCGAGGGTTTGATTTTTTTTTTTTTTTTCCTTTTCCCTTTTCAATAACACAGATCTCCAACTCATTCAAGGCAGGGAATATGAGGGGGTCGGGCTGACTTCCTCTCTGCCAGGAACAGAATTCCATTAAGCTGCTCCTCCTGCTTGCAGGAAGGAGCTGTTTGCTCCCAGTCTGTGCTCACGCTGTGCCTGGCGCTGGAGCACCCAAGAGCTTCCCAGTGCTGCATGAAACAATGGGATTTAAGATCTGCAGCATGCTCCAAAGCTGTGGATTCTCAGTCATTTATTCCAGGGACCAAACTCATTCACTGGCAGGGCAGGGAAGTGTTTTCTGCAGTGGCAGATGGACTTCCAGCATTTAATCAAGGAGAATCCCATTTTTCAGCAGATTTGGAGGGTCCTTTTAGAGTCCTACATGGTCTGGGGTCATCCCACAGGCTCCACTGGGCAGAGGGAAACTGATAAATTAGAAATAAAATAATTAAAATTATTCAGGTCTTATTGTGGGGGTTAAAGCAGAGCCTCTGATGTGGTCATCTCTGGTGAATAAAAAGGGAAAGAGGGAAAGAGAGATGGAGGGAGGTACAGGGAGATGATGGGTGAGAGAACAGAGTGGAAAGGGTGAGAAGGGAGAAGGTGGATGCTCCTGGCTGCTCCTCCTCTCCAGGCAGGTTTGGGGGAAGGTTTGCTCTCCTTGCATGCCAAGCGCTGCCCTCCTGGGGTACAGCTCAGCTCCAGCAGCTCCAGAGGCTCAGATCCAACGGGAAATGGGGACTGCACCTGGATCAGGCCTAGAAAAACAAGGATAGGTGGATATATTATAGCAGCTTCACGCACATTTATTGTATTTACCAAGATATTTCATTGCTGGAGAAGCCACAGCCCCTCTGTCCTCTGCTCAAATCTCCCCTGTTCCACAAAAAAAAAGTAAATCCTGAGAGCTCCAAAGTGAGGGAAGGTGGCTCCAGACTGGCCCAGCACCCACCAGCTCACCCACACTCCCAGGGGTGCCTGCAGGGAGATGAGCCTTGTTCTGTTCTGCCCGTTCCACGGCAGGGATGCAGCTGGGATCAAGCAGGATTTGGCTGCTGCCATCATGGCAAACACACCCTAAATATGGAGCAAAACCCATGAGGAGCAGGCAGGCTCCAAAGCAGCTCAAAGCCCAGCTGCCTGCAGGGGTGGAGCTCCTGAGTGAGCTCCTATTTTTGTTTTTCCCTCATTTTTTGCCCAGAAATGGGAATGTCCTCACCTGCTCCCCTCGCAGACCCATCGCTCTGGGTTCCTCAGGAACTCACTTGTACAGGGTTCTGCGTTTTGAAGGCTTTATGGAGAATAAATGGATCCATTAGTGTGAGATCCCCAGCTCGAGGCCTCGAGGCACCTGGTCCCTGTTTGGTTTTTCTTTCACAGAATCACAGAGTGACCAGGTTGGAAGAGACCTCCAAGATCATCGAGTCCAACCCAGCCCCAACACCTCAACCAAACCCTGGCACCCAGTGCCACATCCAGGCTTTGTTAAACACACCCAGGGATGGTGACTCCACCACCTCCCCAGGCAGCCATTCCACAATTTATCACTCTTTCCATGAAGAACTTTTTCCTGATATCCAGCCTGAATTTCCCTTGGTGCAGCTCGAGGCTGTGAGCTCTGGTTCTGTCAGTGCTGGCTGGAGACAGAGCCCAGCCCCAGCTGAGCACAGCCACCTTCCAGGAGCTGTGGGGAGTGCTGAGGTCACCCCTGAGTCTCCTTTTCTCCAGGCTGAGCACCCCCAGCTCCCTCAGCTGTTCCTCACAGGGTTTGTGTTCCCAGCCTCTCTCCAGCCTTGGTGCCTCCTCTGGATGTGCTCCACTGTCTCCAAGTCCTTCCCAAACTGAGAGCCAGAGCTGGGCACAGCATTTGAGGTGGTCATGTTATTTGTGGGTTTTCTTTCTTTTTTTTTTTTCTTTTTTTTTTTCCTTTTTTTTTTTTTTTTTTTGGGAACACTTTTCTAAGGTGAGCTCCTTCATTCAGAGCAAAGCTGCCAGTGACTCCACCTCCACAACCACTCAGCCCCCAGCAATTCCAGCCCTCAGGAGATGAGGAACCCTCAGAAATCAGCAGTGAAATATCCAGTGCTCAACAATTCCTGGCTATAGATGAGGGAGCTGCAGCAGGGATACAGGAACAGGAAAAGGTGGTTTTCTAGTCCGGCATCCAGTTTTTCAAATCTTTCTCACAAAGGTTCATCTTCTCTCCCAACAGTTTTTCCACAAATGGAGGATCCTGCAGGACAAGCCCGGGCTGACTCCACACCAATTGTCAGTGGGCTGGATCTGGGAAAAAAAAAAGGAATTTATGACCATGAAAACAAAAATACAAACTCAGGGGGTGCAAATTGTTGCTGTTGCAACAATTATTCAAAATAAGGCACTGACAGTGAGTAAAATCTTCATTTTCATGGCTGGTGCTGTCTGTGGTCTTAAAAAAAGGAACCAATCAAGGAAAATCCAAGCATGAACCACCAGATTGACCCCCCCTGGCTCATCTCTGGACCTCCCCACATGCCACCCGGTGCTGCTGTTCCTCCTTGTCCCGGACAGCAGCCACCCCTCAGGGCTCTGTGTGCCACATGCCCGAGTGCATCGCACACACTTCCAGAGCCTGCAAACAGGGGCTGCGATTAATTCCAGGCAATTTGTCACCCAGGCAGCTCAGCAGGTGGCAGGGCCAGCAGTGATCAAAGGGCACCCGGTGGCTTCTCCACGTGCCAGAATGGGAACGCTCAGCCCTGAGAACTCCGTGCGTGTTCCAGCTCCCGTGCAGGGCATCCATCATTTTCCTGTTGGTTATCATTTTCCATCATGCGTCTCCTGTGCATTTTTAATTGGTTAATTACTTTATTCATATACTAAGCACACCCTCAAGCTGCAATTATTATCAGCATTAAGTGCTCCGTTCGTGCCATACATCTTCCCCGAGCTCTCCGTGGCCGTTTCCCGGCCCACGCTTCCTCCCTGGGCGGTACCCGCAGCATCCTCAGCCTCTCCCCGGCCTCGCTCCGGCCCTCCTCTCATTAGTTTATTATCTCTACTGCTTATCAGCCCCGTAGTTTATTATCTCTACTGCTTATCAGCCCCGCTCCCCAGCTCCTCCTCACTGCCGCCGCAATTGGAGCCCGGCGTCCCTCCCGCACCATTCCCGGGGCAGATCCCGCAGCAATTCCCGGGGCAGATCCCGCAGCAATTCCCGGGAACAGCTCCCACAGCATTCCCGGGGTATCTCCCGCAGCAATTCCCGGGGTATCTCCCGCAGCATTCCCGGGGTATCCCCCGCAGCATTCCCGGGGTATCTCCTGCACCATTCCCGGGGTGTCTCCCGCAGCATTCCCGAGGTATCTCCCGCACCATTCCCGGGGTATCTCCCGCACCATTCCCGGGGCACATCCCGCACCATTCCCGGGGTGACCCTGCCCTTGCTCCTGGATTTATCTACAAGGAGAGAGTCAAACTCCCCCAGAGACCCCTGAACACTTCTTGGAGGGGCTTTTCCAATATTCCCATCCTCTTTCCCCCTTCCTGGAATCTCCCAAAGGCACCAAAATATCTGCCAGGCTTGCTCCCCTCACCTGCAGGACACATCCCAGAGAGGTTTTTGCTTTGCCATCTCACTTTTCCTGCTGGGGAGCTCAGCTGGGAGCTCAGCCCCTCCTGCTCCTTCCCGTGGCTTCGTGTCCCCAAGCCAAACCTTGGGGCAGAAATAAGGTCAGCTGCAGCCTGGCTAGAGGTGCCCTGCCCTTTCCCATGGCTCTGGGATCCCAAAATACCCTGATCCCCACCCAGCGGGGAGGGCAGGCTCCCACACAGGGGCACTTGGTGTATTTAAAGCTCTGCCTGTGCTGTAATTCCGTGTGCAACACTAATTATCCAGCTCCACTGTTGCCATGGCACTCCTTAAAGCCATCAAAGCCATCAGGAGCCATCCTACCCCCACCTCACCCTCCTGCTCGCTCCTGGGCTCCAGCCCCAGGGTCACCTGCCCCTCTGCCCAGCACAAAGGCCACGTTTGGACTTTGGGGAGTTGTGTCTAATTCCCAAGCTGCATTCCAAGAAGTGCCTGACTCCAAACATGCCCATTTTTAGGTCAAATTGCAGAATTACTGTTTCCTTAGCACAACATTGCCCTATCTTTAGAAGCTAAAAGGGATGTTTAGAGTTAGAAGGAGAAAGGAAGAAAGAAATGAAGGGGGTGGGGTGAATAAACACATCCCGAGCCCTGGAAAAAACACAAATATGAGATCAAAAGGGAATCAGCCAAATTTTGAATAACCTGATGTCTGCAGCATTTACATCCCTCAGAGATGACACCTCAGACACCCCACAGGCAGTGACAGAACAGATCTGGGAGCTTCCCCCTCCTGCCCCCAGCACAAATACTGCAGGAAGCCTTTTACACCTCCCAGACTGCCAGGAGGTCAATTCTGTTTCACCTGCAATGAGGGTTAGTGCAAAAGAAAGAAGGATTTGTGCTGGGAAAAGCTTTTTCCAGAACTCCAGAGGGATTTTCCCTCTGTGACAGCACCGCTGGGTCCCTGCTGGGAGTGGGGCTCTCACTGTGGGGTCTGTGCTCAGCCCAGGGCACAGCAGCACCTCCAGGGCTGGGTTTGGCCCTAAAACGCTTCCAGTCCCTGACGTGGTGGGAATGGGGCAGCTCTGCCATGAGGAGAGGCTGGCACAGCTGGGATTGCTCAGCCTGGAGGAGAAAAGCTTTGGGGTGAGCTCATGGTGGCCTTCCAGAACCTGAAGGAGCCAAAAGAAGATGGAGAGAGATGATTTACAAGGACCAGGACAAGGGGGAATGGCTTCACTGCCAGAGCATGAGTTTAGATGGAATATTAGGAAAAAAACCCTCCCTGTGACTTTGTACATGGACAGACAGTGCTAGGGCAAGGAGCAATGGTTTTAAAGTAAAAGAGGAGAGATTTAATGGGATATTGGAGAGGAATTGTTCCCTGGGAGGGTGGGCAGGCCCTGGCCCAGGTGCCCAGAGCAGCTGTGGCTGCCCCTGGATCCCTGGCAGTGCCCAAGGCCAGGCTGGACACTGGGGCTGGGAACAGCCTGGGACAGTGGGAGGGGTCCCTGCCATGGCAGGGGGTGAAAGAACTTCCTAAATCTCTCCTCTTTAGTTCCAAACCATCCCCCCTTGTTAAAGAGGAGTTGCTGTCCCTGAGGGCTGAGCCCTTTCCTCATTCCCCCGGAGTTTTCCCTTTCCTGCCCTCCTGCATCCAGCCCCAGCGGGGAGCAGGGAGCTGCAGAGCAAAGAGCTGCATTTGCTGAGGAGAGAGGTGGGAGCAGAGCTGGCACTTCTGCTCCTGAAATGCCATTCCTGACAAGGTTCACACCTAGAGCAGCTGGCACCCTTCTCTCTGTGCCAGGGGCTGTGCTGGGAACCAGCTCCTGCCGGGAGCAGTTCCCAGCTCTGCTCATGCAGCCAGAGGCTGTGCCAAGAGCCAGGCAGGATTTGTCCTGATATTATTGGTGATAAAGGAGCCTCCTGTGTGAGAGGCAGGTCCATTTCCAATCCATCTGTACCTAGATCTAAAAAAGCCTTCATTTTCCCCACGCCGCCACGGATTCCTGGGATAAATTGCTGCCATAGCTTAGCTCCCGACTCCATTACATCCCATTCAAATCCCCTTCATTATCACAAGGAGCAAGGTGACACCAAAAGCTTGTCTCGGGGAATTTATGGCACAGTGGAGACTCTTAGATCCGCTCAACCCCATTAAAACCTTCTCCCCTATAAAACATGCACCTTATTAGGCACCTCAGCAGCAGCCTGGCTCTGCTTCCTGGGCAGGAGCACATTCCAAGGGTTCAGTCCCTCCCTGCTCCTGGCTTGGCTGGTGGGGAGATCTTTGTGCAGCCCTTTAATCCCAGCCTGCTCACCCAGCCAGGATAAAAGCAAACACACCCCACCAGCCAAAACCAGGCTTTTATTCAGGTCTCTTCCTGCCACAAAATCTGGAAAAAGGGATTTGGGGTGGAATTGTTGTGAAATACACAATGAAGCACCGTGTTTGGGTTTGTTTAAAGGCATTGAATTAAAAAAAATTTACTCTCAAAATCTCTTTAAAAAACGTGACCTGGGATTCCAACAGCCTGTGCTGAGTCCCTGACCCTTCCTCCAAGCTGCTCCCTGCTCACAGATGTGCTCAGTCTTCATCTCAGAGAGGAATTTCTGTTCCCATCACTGCTCCTTCCGGAGCTGGGGAAGCAGGAGAAGATGAGGAGGTGCTGGGGAAGGACCTGCCAAGGCTGCCTTGCACATTCCCACCTCCATCCCCTCTCCAGATCCACCCTCCCTGCAGCTGGGCTCACCTGAGCAGCCCAGGGGACATTCCTGGGGCAGACAACCCTTCCCAGCTGGGAAGAGCTGGAATATCGTGTCCCTAAGGAAGTGATTCTGCTTTTCTCACACATTTTCCCCCTTTTTCATCTCCCAGTCTCCCCCCAGCTCCAGGCTGTGCCCTTCAGGAGCACAGGTGGCAGCTCCTGCCTGCTCTGAGAGCTGCTGGTTATTTCAGGTAAATCTGTTTGTGTTTGTGCCCCTCATTTAGTCCCATCTCACTGTTGTTTGCTGTGCTGGATTATGCAAATCCAAAGGAAAGCAATATTGGAGCCAGGAAGGTCAGCAGAGCCCGCAGCCACTCCTGCTGTGTCACCTCTGTGCCACTGCTGAGGCCACACCGGGGTGGCTTTGTCCCTTCCCTGTCCTGGGAGTGCTCCAGCTCCTGCCAGCATCCCAAACCAGCCCCAGCAGGAGGGACAGTCCCCGTGTGGGGTCACACTCAGCTCTGTCCTGCCATCATCCCAAAGATCCAACACCCCTTAGTGCTCCTGGGGCGTGCAGGGCCCAGCACATCCCTGCTCTCCCTGGAGAAGGGGCATTTCCCTGGGGAACTGGATAACTCTGCTTTGGGATAAGTGGGATAAGAGTGGCAAAGAAGGAAAGCGAAATCCCAGAAAAAAGCTGAACAGGGAGAAGCAGCAGATCTGCCTGGATCACACAGGCATTCCTGGAACTGGAGAACTGGAGAATTCCAGAGCCATTCCCTGCACTGGAGTAAGCTGTTGTTATAAATGATAATTTATCCAGCCAAATTAAAAATGAAATAAAAAGAATTTTAGTTATGATCAAAATCCATCTCACCAGCCACAAGGAAAAAGGCAGTGCTGAGCCCGGGATCGGCACTGGGTGAGTGACAGAGGACGCCTCTGGCAGATGTTCCTCTGGACACCCACACCACCTCTCAGATCCTGAGGTTCTTACAGGAAATTTTCTGCTGGGGTGAGGATTTCAGCCATCCGCCCATTCTTTCCATTCAGAGTTCCCCATATTCATAAAGTTCTTTTCTCCAGGCCAAACAATCCAAGTCCGGGTGTGGATGATCTTGCTGATGAAGTTACAGAACTGTGGCTTTCAGCTGGATCAGCCCAGAGATTTCCAGATAATTCCATCTGAGTCGTTACTGGGATGATCAGCTCCCAGGGTCCCGGTATCAGTTCCTGGAACAGAGCAACATGATTGTAAATCAGACATGGTTTGGCTTAGGTGAACCTGAATATGGGGGGTGACTGGCTGCAGCACTGGCGTGTGCTTTTATGTTAAACTAAATATTTCATATAGTGAATCATATTTAATATAACAATATTCCAGAGGAGAAAATTATAATAATTTATATCACTGTGAACACCTCAAGGTAGCTCAGCTCCAGCCGTGATCAGGCGGCTCCTGAGCCATGGAGATCAGGGTGATCCCCGTGCAGGAGGATCAGTGATCCTGAACAGCTCTGACCTCTTTTATTCCCAATGCCAGAGACTTTTCCCAGCTCGTGCCCATGTCCACCTCACAATTCCTGTCTGGTTAAGGCACCTCCTTTCAAAACACATCCAACTTCAAGGGAAAACTCCAAGCAAGGGAGGATCACCCACCTCCTCCACGGGTTGTTTATGACTAATTCTCTTCACTGCTGGAATGTGTCTGCTTTGCAGGTGGAATTTGTCTAATTTCAGCTTCCAGCCACCACATCTTGTTACACCTTTGATCGCCAGATTAAAGAGCTCTCGAGTCTCAAATAAATTCTCTTCTGCTGGGGACTCCCAGCCTTGTGCCAAGCAAGGATTCAAAGTGTTTTTCTTTAAGCCTTTCATTAGAGAAGGAGGTGTTTGGCTTGGTGTCTTTTTAAAATTTCGTTCACTTTTGTACCTCTTTCCTGGATTCTTTCCAAGTTTTCATTAAGTGTGACCCTGGAACTGGACACTGAGCACACCCAGAGCCTTTCTTAAAGCAATGCATGGTCCCACAGAACTGCAAAGTTCTTTTCTTTAGGAGCTTCCAGTTCAGAAGGTCCCACCTGCTTCCTTCCACTTCCCTAATCCATGTTCAGCAGCGTGTGGATATCTTTGTTCCTGGAAGTGTGGCTCTCCAGTGCCTTGACCCAAAATTCAGGCTCCTGGAACAAATTCAGCCTCCAAGTGATTCATGCTGCCCTGGCCAAGTTTATCTTCCTGCTGGGCTTTGTATCCTCTTTAATTCTTATCTCTCCAGACTGTGCGCTCCCCTTCAGGTCATGGATAAATACTCTTGGCTCTCCTCAGGAAAACCTGGCACTGATCTGATAATTTGGCCTGGAAACTGCTGAGGATGATCCTCCCAGCCCTGAGGGACACAGAATTCCCTACGTCCCAACAGCACCTCACAATGGTGGTTCACAGCCCATCAGGCTTTCACCTGCCAGGACATCCCCCAGCTTCTGCCCTGCAGGGAATGGGAAGATGTCGGAACTCAAAATGTCCCTCAGACATTTTTGGAGGTT